GTGCATTGGAGTACCGTCCTTATACATGAATGTAATTATCACTGCAATAGACTTGTAGTACTTTATGGAGTGTATACCACTAGTTCACTGTTTAACCATTTGTGGATTGCTTAATTGGTTGTCCTTGTGGTAGGGAAATGGGACTACATGAGATTCTCAAATTTGAATAAGGCAGGTGGAGTTTTGTTTTTCAGTTGCTATTATTTGAAGGGACAAACTAGATTCTATGGTCTTAAGAATCAATGGTTTAATGTAAGATTGTGACACAAACTACCCGCTAGTGTGGCCTTGATCATATCACTATTCTAGTATGATAGCTGAATTACATGGTGAAGAGAACTCTGCAGTTTCTTAAGAAGCCATTAAGGAATCCGTGTGTACTGTGATATCATACGATAGTCCATTATTTTCCCTCGATCAGTTGTTTGTTTTATTCATTTAACTTTGTATTGTATGAAGACGAGTTCTCTTGGATTAAGTGTGGTAGCCTTACTCATATTTTTTAAGTTTAGGCCATTTCGTTTTAACTTGAAAATGTTGTTTACTTGTGTACCACTAGATTCTGACTGTTCTAACAAGATTCCTTATGGATATGCAAATACATTTGAATTCTACTGTCTTAGAGTTCAACCTATGTACATGTGCTTTAAGTGCTCCTTCTTCATGGTCTTTTTCTTGATGCGACTTTTTTCAATAGTTCAAGGAAAAGTTCCTAAACATAAAAAATAATGTGTTGCTTGTTTCTATAATTATTTGATTGGATTGACTGGCCCAACTTTGCAATTATTCGATAGAATTCACTTTGTGTGTGTTTAAGTGCTCTTTCCTCCTTGTCTTTATCGATGATATCACTTCTTTCAACAACGTGAACAGAAAAACGTGTGTTCAAAAAGTAAAATGAATGGTGTGGCTCTATTATTATTTGATTTGGCAGAAAATGGAAATTGAATACTCTTATATTGCTCTATAAATTCATCAGATAAACTTAGCAAAAATGTAAATCTCTTGGCTCTCCACATTGTGAACACCCTTATATTGCTCCAGCCTCATCGAACAATAGAATGCATTAATGAACAGTTTAATTGGGAAGGTTGTTATACTAGACTGAAGAAGGGTCAGAGAAAGTCTTATAATGGTAGAGTATCGTGCTTTGACTAATTTTGATGTTTTTCTTTTGGACTACACATCTAATGTTTGATCATTTGGTCTTGTGTTGCTACTTTATGTTTGAAAAACAACTAGCTTTGACATTATCGCTTACGAGAAAAATGAAATAAAGAATCAACTAGTTTTTGCAGAGAACTTTCCTGTCTTTCCAAAGCAAAAAATGATTGTTTTCGTTTCCAATGTTCATTACAAAAATTGATCATTATTTGAATTGGTGGTTTTGGCTCAATACTGTTAACTGGTTATGTAGACAGATTTTCTTGCATCGTTGCGTACATATTTAAGGAGATGATAAAGGATATTTGTTGATTTTCTCTTTCTTATTTATTCTACTTTGTATTCTCATTCCTCTTGCACCTGATCTTACTTTCCAAGCACATAGTGTGCTTTTCCGTTTGCTTGTTTCAGAAGGAACGGTCTGTGATGAATTTGTTGTTTTATAATTTCGTATTGAAAAGGTTCATATTTTCAAGTTTTCAACGTTTCAAAGTTATACACATATCAAATTTATAATGTTATGCTTCTATCCTTTCATGGACTGCAGATGTTTCACTTGATTCCAACACAAGGAGGAAGTTTCTACGTGCAGAATGACATATTTCGCTTGAACTATGCTTGAAGGGTTCTGCGTTCAATTATCTCCTGGTCATATTTTCTTGATTGATTCGACAAAGATAGTATTATAGCAAGATATTGCTTCCATTTCACAGTCATTGAGAGACTATTTTTTCCTGTAATGGTTTAGTGAATTGATTGATGAACTTGGCTTCCCTCAGAGTTTAATGGAATTGAACGAGGCTTTAAGAAGATTGTTATCAAAAAATGATTTCTTGCCAAAGCATTGGCACTTTCAATTCGTGCTCAGGGTATGGCTAAATTTTACTATAGCTTGTTGACTAAACTTTCCTAAGGTGAAAATTGACCAGTAGAATTTGATACTCAACACTTTGGCCTGATAGTTTTGCTATGTAATGTAGTAGTCAAGCATTACATTTATCATCCGTAAGTCTATTTTTTTCTGAGTATGCAAGTAATGTTTGATTACTAACAGTAGCAGAGTTCCTTTTCGAGAATGAATCATATATGAATAGCATCCCACTTCCTAGGGAACACTCATTTCTCTAGGTATACATTAGATAATAAATAGGTAATTTGCATAAATGTTTAGGAGCTAATTATTTAACTATACACTAGTTTACCAAATTACAAATCTTATCAGATTCTGGTGTGCGCTATCTAGAGATATATGTGGTCAAATTAGGTGTAATTTGTACTAGATACACTGTATATAAGTTATAAATGGATTTGCATGTACTTGAGATACAAAGACAAATCTCGCTCGCCACTCTCCTATATATGTGGTATTTCAGCTATGTGTGAATCACACCAGATACATATAAATGTATCACTTGTATTGTGATACATAGACAAATTTCGCTTGGTCGCCTTCCTCCTTCTCTTCCTATTTTAGTGTATTTTTTTAAAAAATATTATAATCTACCATAAAGTGGAGGAGTTTAGGTATGACTATCTAGTAGCAAGAAACATGTATTCAAGCATGTAATGTAATTAGATAGTGTCTCCATTAATGAACCACTAGTGCCCCACAGGCCACATTTAGTATTTGGTTCTTGGCACTTTGAAAGCATCAAAGGAAGTCATCACAAATGAGAATGAAATTTCAATGATCTTATACCTAAACACAGCAGGCTTGGGGACTAGTCTAACAAATGAGAGATTAAAGCCTCTGGCTTGAAGTATTATTGAATACAAAATATTTAACTGAAGTTTGTGTAGAATTATTCTTCTGAAGACTGAGCTTCCTCAGAAGTAACAAAATAATAGAGCATGTTTATAGTAAACAAAAGAGTCTGCCTGTATTGGCCAACTAGTGATTGATTTAATTTTAAACATAGAGATGTAGATTGAAATTAACAAGTACAAGAATAAGGATCAAACCAAAGAGGAGAGCATGAACCAATACAGAAATCCAACTGGTCTTCATGTTCATGAAATCAACTGGTGTAATCTTCCCTGGCATTTGAAACAATAATCCTGGAGATAGAAATCCAAATAGTGCTGTTGCTATAATCGGACCAGCCCAATCATTCATTTTTTAAAAAATTATTATCTTAAATTATTTCAGTATTCAAATGAACAGAAGAGAGGAAAAAAAAAGTAGATTAAAAAAAGGAAGAGCTATAGCTTTAGAATAATACCAAAATGATGAGAATCGAAAAAAGTAAAGGAATATATGAAAATCTATAGCACTTTCTAGTTTTTTTTTTATTCCAATTGATTATTGTAATAACTTGAGTTTGAGCACTAATTTACTGTGAGGGAGTTAAGAATTTTTATAAGAAACTCAAATAATGAAAAAGTAAAAAAATATTTTTAAAAATAACATTTATCTTATAATTTTAAAATTTTGTATGTATAATAATATAAATTTTCATTAAAAGAATTTAAATGAATCTCTTAGTTTCACTTGAGTCCACTAGAATAGCTACGGTGGTGGATAAGGCAAAACCTTCAAATCCTGAATTCGCTACTGCGTTCAATTCACCCAACTTGTATAAGTTTGTGTGCATTATTGACCTGTTCATTCACGAGTTTAACCCATCAATTCAACTCATTAAAAGTTAGGTTAACATATCCTAAATTGATTTATGAGAAATCTTGTTAATTTTTTTTCCTTCAATTTTGATATGTTATATATAGTCATAATAAATAATTTTTTTTTTCTTAATAGACGCTATAATATTTTTAAAAATCAAGTAAAACAATTAATCTTAGTAAAAATTAGGTTGGCCCATTAGGTCTTGTTGACCTGTGTATATAATTCACTACGCAATCCATTTTAACCCAAACAAATTTGGGTTAGATGGGTCTTGATCCGATTATTGTCTTAATCCATTATGACACGTCCAAATTTGACCCAAACCCACCCAATTATCACCCTTTTATGCCTATTGATTACTATATTTTATGAATTAGCAATTGTAAAATTATTTTTATATTATATTTTACGGGGAATAATTAAAAGACATGATAATTTGGTTTTCTTCAGAAAAAAAAAATCTCTTAAAAAGGAAAATAAAAACGAAAACGTGGACGGCAGGATTCGAACCTGCGCGGGCAGAGCCCACATGATTTCTAGTCATGCCCGATAACCACTCCGGCACGTCCACCGGTGTGTGGCAAACGATAATTTTAATAAAATATATTTGTTTCTCTATCATATTAATGTATCATTCTGTGTTATTGCATTCTCATATCTATTTTTAATATGTACTATTTAATGGCTATTAATTAGTAAATCTAGGAATAAAATATCAACATGACGAAATTCCATGAAATATTATATACCAACAATGAACATATCACGAAAAATTTGAGTATTCAATTCAAAACCTTATGATAATTAATGAACCATAGTAACTCATGCAAGGAGTACGCACAATGCTAGAGTTATAGTCATTAGCCAAAAACTCGCGAGTATTCATGTAAATAATAAAAATTACATACTTTTAAGATTATAATCTATCACTTAAAATTTATAATTACAGATATCCGTCAAACGAATACAATAATATAAGCGTTGATACACTATTCCGATGTGCGAGATACATTAATCGTTAAGTAATATACGTTACATTTTATACATGATTGCTGCGTGAGATACACCAATCTAATGCGCGAGAATGAGGAATTTTGGAGATTCGTAAAACTTATAGGGGATAATGGTAATAAGTAAACTAAAAAAAGGGATTCTGGAGATTTGTAAAACTTATAGGGTTATAATGGTAATAAGTAAAAGTTCACTTACTATCTATAAATAATCAAATCAAAATCCAATAAAACTACCATTTCAAAAATCCCAAATGAAACTTATAGGAGTACAAACATAACCAACACTAATTCATAAACATAATTAAACACTTTTAACAATTACCTATGAATTATAGTAGTATATGAAAAAATAAACAATATATATATATATATATATATATACACACACACTAAATCTTAATAGGAGGGAATGAAAAATCGGACCATATGTGAAGATTAAAGGCGACAGTTAAAAGTGTAAATATACAAAAGTACAATATGGCATGAACAAGTACTGCAATGCCGCTAGTGTACATATTTCCGAATTCGCAAAATCTTGTTCTTGATGGCAACTGGAATAACAATCCTGGCGATAATAATATGAACAATCCAACAGCGATCACTGATGGCGCCCAATCTGTTCCCATTTTTCTTATATTTATTATGTAACGCTCTTTGAGTTTTTTTTTTTTGTTTTTTTTTTTATATATAATTGATGTTTTTCTTATACTTTTGTTTGTCAATAATTGCTAGTATTTTTAAGGCAATAATATGTATTTATAGTGATTTTGCTTAGTGGAGAAGGAGGGAGTGGAGGAAGAGGATCGATGCTAAACTTGAGAGTGACATGCACGCATGGTATTAAAATAGAGAAGAAATATATGGTGTGTTATATATTACTGGAAGCTTTTGCTTTATGGAGGAAGTTGACAGAAAGTATTGGCTTTGTGTATAAGTTTCCAAAAATAATAGGCAAAAAAAAAGTAACAATATCTTTAAATTCAATGTTTATCATTCGATCAACTTCTTCGTGCTAGCCTCTGGTTTACTATCACGTTTTCATATGTATACTATATAGAATGAATCAACTAGAACATATAGGAGAATTAAATATGGAATGTGAATTATATCATTTGTGTAAACGGTACTGTTGAAAGCCTAGCTCATCTTTATCCATTCTAGTTAGCAGTCCCAGCTTCGTATCAAGATCACTATCATCAATTATTATTGTTTTCTAAAATTAGTTGCTACGTGCTCCTATTACTATGATATAGGAGTGGTTAATTTAGTTTTATCTTTTTAAAAAAGTTATGCCAAGATAATTCATAGATTGCCCAACAAATTGTTTATTTGTGATTATCGCGAATTGAATAACAATCAAATTACTACATTTATGATATTTATAATCAAATTACTAAATTTCATCGTGGACCCTCAATTTTATCAATTGCAATAACTTAAATCAAGTTTAATATCTAATTTAGATAGGATTCCAAAAAGTTGGTAGGTACACTGGAATAATTTAAATCTTACTTTCTCCGTTCATTTTTAATTGTTATGGTTTCTATTTTTAAAGTCAAACTCTAAGAACTTTAAAATGTGTTTTTTCATCATATTAATATGCGAAAAATTATAATTTAATACTTTTCATATAGTTTTTTAATATCTAAACTTTTTGTTTAAAATATCAAATTAATGTAATCTAATTTAACTTTAAAAATTAATCAAATAGACTTTCGAAAAGCATAACATGATAAATAAAAACAAACATAGCGAATAAATCGTTAAATGCGGAAAACTCTATTGTAGAAATTGTAGCTATATAGATATTTATAAATTGTTTAATAACATCACATATTTCAAAAGGAAAATTTCATACCCAATCAAACAGTGCTACATAAATTAAGACGAAGTGACTCATTCATTCTACGTACAATACTTACTCCATCAAATTATGTTTGATCATTTTGAAGTCTTAAATTAATTTAAAGTTTAAAATAAATACAATACTTTTTTTTTAATTAAACACATATAATAGGTGCATATAGCAATGTTAAAAACACTGCGCCTTCCGTTCAGAATTAACACGTTCAAGCCTAAAACGCTCCTGAACACTTGATATGTAGCTAGCTGCTTTTAGATCTACGCTTTCATTGTCGAGTGTAGTCTTGGCATAGTAAGTAGTAGCAGTACCAGTACTGCTACTACTATTAGAGTACTCACGATCGTGAGTACTCGGATCAGGTGGTACGTAAAATGAAATTTTGGGCTTATGTGGAACAGTCACTTGCTCCTGGTTCAGTATGAAATCTACTGCAGCACTAGTAGTACTTGATGATGAGAAAGTAGTACTATTTGGATTATAAGGAACCAATTTTTGCTTAATTGGCTGATGATTCTGATTCTGATGAAGATGATGAATAGTTGAAGGACGGTCCATCACTTGATTCGCGATGAATACGTCGTGTTGAATCGGTTTAGATGCTACAGCGGCTGCTCGGTACAAAGACTTCACTAGCTTCCCGAGTCCTAATCGCTTGCGGCTCGATTCCATCGTCGTATTATTTTGTTCAAATTATACTAGTTCGCTAGATATTTGTTTGAGTACTCTGTTTTGATCGTACTGAGGCATTCGAGAGGTGTTTATATAGTGGGGGGAAAATTGGGGATTTGAATAATTAAATTGCATTATTGCTGCAAGTTGATATACTCATGATAAGCTAGGTAATATTATATTGTTCTTTAATTTAAGCTATATCCAATATCTGTCTTCGTCTTCGTTTAATTAATAATTTATCTGGAATCTTACTTTTTGGTATAACATGTGTTTCTTTAGAGACTACCAATAGAAGCTAAAAAAGAAAAAAAAGAGAGATTTATAAATATCTAGAAGCATAAATGCATAATTCCTTATTTCATGTTATTAAATTAATAAAAAGGAAAAAATGTACTTTGTGAGAATTGATTTTCACGATCTTTCGGGTAAATAACTTAATAACAAGGATTTAAAATATTGTGTTTTGATGAATTTAAGGTTTTAATTAATAAAGTGGTGAGTAAAAGAGTCTAACCAATAAACGGAATCAAGTACAATGTCATCAGGTCATTTCACCTTTTAAAAAAATATAAATATAAAATATCTAGTTTTGCAGAGAGACTATGAATTTATGTGCCCATATATTTTTACATGTAAATTCACCTATGCATATTATAAATTAATGATGAAGACAAATTTTTCATTAAAGTGATTCAATATATACACAAAAAAATTTCAACATCTATTGTGTATAGTATTTAACAAAATCTTTTTAGGAGTTCTTTCACTATATCTCATAAGGTCGTTATATTGATTTTGAAAATTTATCTAATAAAGTCATTAAAATTCAATTGTATTGATGAACCGTTACATATTTCTGCATCATTTTAATTGGGCGTGCTATCGATATTTTAACAAAATCACATAAGAATCAAATTCACTTTACAATTTTGTACTAGTTGTTATGTAACCTGATAAGAACAGTGTCTTTGTCACCATGAGTTAATTTTCAGCATCAATGTTACTGTCAAAGAAATGGATTATAAATTGGCTGGCTGATTATGCTAGTCATTCTCCTATTATAGATTATTTATACAGATAACAAATGTAAAACTATAAGACATGATTGACAAGGAATGAAAAGCAGAGGATGCAATCGTACAGAGTGTAATTTTCAGGGAATATAATCACGATACGATAATTTATGATTAAAGATAGAATTATTATCTTTTTGAAAATATATATGCTGGTATTTTGTCTTCGGATAAGATATTCTAGTATTTTACACCAAGACCACAAAGTCGCACATTTCACTTATTCAACAGCGAATTTGGCTAAGCTAATTTTAAGGAACTTCTAAAGTATGAAGGGGTAGTTTGTTAGTGGTTTGGAGGTGAGTTATCTAAATATAAATATTTGTATTATAAATAATATTAATTTTTTCGTGTAAAAAAGAATGATTCTATTTTCTTTTTAATCTGTTTAAAAAAAGAATGACCGTTTTCTTTTTTTGACAATACTTTAATTTCAACTTTTCACATGACATGTTTAAAATCACAAGATCAAAAGACATTTTAGTACATTTGACATAACTTTAATTTAGGATCACAAAATTAAAAAATCTTCTTTCTTTTCTTAAACTCTATTCCAAGTCAAACTAACTCATTCTTTTTTAAACGAAAGGACTATATATTTGACAGTTGATGGGAAATAAGTATTTACCTATAAAAATGTTCAGAGAGAATTCGTATGCATAATCTCTCTGTTTTAATTTATGTGGAACAATTTGACAATGTATGAAGTTTAAGAAATAAGAAAGCAATGTTACATTTACTAGATTTTCCTTATTAAACTAATTTTGTTAAAACTAGAAAATGGCTATGGAAAAGGATTAACTCTCAAGACTTGTAAAAATAACGTCTCAATTACTCCCTCTCCAAAGGTTCAAATATTTTTCAATTAACTCTCCTACTCGATAATTGAACAAATAGTTATAAATAGGACAATGAACAGTTAATTAGTTAATCACGAGCAAATATATATACATGACATGCAAAATAGAGAAAATAAGAGGGAAAAGAACGTAACGAGGAATGCTGCCAGTTGCTAAGTAAGGAAATATGAGATACGCAGGTACATTTATATAATTTACTTGTATGTTTGTATAATTTATGTATTTTTGAATAATTGAGTATTATAAAGTTTTGAAATTATACAAATATTATAAAATTCGAAATAGTAAATTGATACAAATGTAAACATATGAACTTTAAAATTTATACAAATTAGGGAAACTTACATAAATATACTATGATAAAAAAATATTTACCATTTATAGCAATAACATTTTTTTTCCACATGATCACTTTTAATTCATTTATAATAAAAGTTTAATACATATTACAAAGAACAATTTATTATTCACATATAATACAGGTTTCAATGATGGATAATATATTTATGACACATTTTAATACACTTATAATAAAATATGTTAAATTTTTACCAAATAAACATCATATATTTCAAAAAACAATTATAATTCATATATATTGCATACGTAATTCACGTTTAATTCATATTACTGATGTAACATAGCATTGTTATAAATGGTAATACATTAAAAGTATTGCTAAAATCAGTAATTATTTATTAAAATGTATTAATTTATGTAATTTTTCCTACAAAAAATTATATCATATAAATTATATTATACAAAATCCGAAAACTACACAGTTATACAAACTTTTAAAAGCTATACACAAAAAGATTGAATTAATACGGAGATAAAGCTAAGAAATCAAAGGGAATCATCATCATATACAAATACAAATCAAAAGAAAAATTGTTAGTTGTGAATTATACAAACGTGGTGAATTATATTAATGTGACTAATTATACAAAATCGAAGTTCAGCCATGTGATTAATGGTTAATATTAATCGCAATTGGTAATTATATAAACATATACCTATATATAATACTAATTAAGTGGTATACAAGTTTACTTAGCCGCATAATTTTCCCAATGATTAATATTAAAACTTGAGTAACTTTCACATATAGCAAACATAAAAATCATATTTGTATGTTATACCTATTGTTTGCATAATTGCGCTCCATAACAAACATAAATATGTATATTTTGTTATGCATATACAAAAGAAAGTAGTTATATAATTTTGTTATATATATACAAAAGGAAACAATTGTATAATCTGCTTTGATATACATATATAAAAGATCAATTATATAATCTGTGTTTGTATAAAGCGAGAAAAAGAGAAAGACAAAAGAAAACTGAGCAGGTGAAGATCATATTTGTATAATCATAAGTGTATTGGACGAAAATATATGCATTTGTATTTGTATATACTATTTTTTCTCGCTTTTACAAACACAATGTATAAATTTGTGTTT